GATCACACGAAATTCAAAAAACCTCATTATAACGAGGAAATGCAATGAAACTAAAAAATGTGAAATAAAATACATAATTGAAGAGATATTCAAGGTGAAAAACAGTTAAGGAAATAGCAGATTTCAAATTGCTGTACCAATCACTATAAATAGCAAAAGACGATTGTCCAATGCAAAACAACCTGTTATAAGAAAAGAGCAATTCAACTACACAGTCACTTCTCCACTCAAAAAAGCCGTTTCAATATCACTTTTCGTTGAAGAAATCGTGATAATTGGTTGATTTTCTATTCAGCACTTAATATTCAGTAATATTTTTCTGCCAAGCAAGTAAATAATTAAACAATGGCTGTCGCCAAATCGTTCACGATCATTATCGAAGAGGATACGTCAAGTTGGATACATCATCCATGAGAAACGGAGCAATCCCGACATCACGGCATCATTTTTATGACTAATAGTAGCACATGTGAAAACATTTTTTAGCATCTATCAAAACTAGAGATTGGTCCTCACACTGCACTACTTAAAGTAATTGAAACCCTTTGTTTACAGTCTAGATCAGTGGTTATCATAGGGGGTGAAATTACCCAGTTCGGGTAAATTAGTAGTGTTGGAGGGAGGGGGTAATGGAGGAGTCGGAAAATTAGCACTTCGTGCAGTTGTCATGTTATGATAGAACGCCATTGTGATTGTGTTTTTTCACTCGGGTATGTAAATGCAATTGGTTCATGGCAACACTCTTCATTCTCCCATATTTTGAGTGTCATTAGCTCGCTTAGGCCTGTACGAAAATCAGTCTAAAGTAATCACAATTATTGCGTAAGTTCTTTAATATATTGGCTGACGTTGTTTCTTGTGAACATTGAGAATTGATTGAGTTCTTTGGTACGATAGAAGAGATCGTTGGTTTGGTGTGGCATGATCGAGTATTCCTGAATTCATCCATTATTCGGGTAGCTAATTTTATGTTTTCCGTAATACTTTTCGTTTGATGATATCGATTTCTTTTTTCAATTTTTACAATTTCTAATTCCTTAATCGCTTATGAATGTTTTTCCAACCGGTGTAATACTTATTCCGTGATGAACGACAACATTTCTTATGATGTTCATGACTGTAATGCTTGAAAAATAGAATTTTAATTTCAGACTTAATGCACCTATCGCATCTCAAAATCCTCTATAGTTCAGATTTATTTTCACCCCTCCGATGAACTTTTACTTATTCATTAACCATCACTTTGATGGAATGATTGCTTTTCCGTTCATCTCAAAGATGATTTCTCAAATGTTCATTGCATCTTCTTTCTTCATGAGTAATTGAACTTGTTATTATTTTTCATTTTACATTTTTCATGAATGTTTTTTCATTGCTTTTCGTTTTTAATTGCCGAGGTTCATATTGTACCTGCAGTGGATAAATAAAGTTCTAAATATACTTGTTTCATTCCAGAAAATTAATTTCTTTCAAGTCATGGAGGAATTTTTTCGGTTTTCCATTTGTTCCTGACGTTATACGTAGAAAGAGTAAGTTCTTGTATTAGGATTCGGGGGAGAGATAACGGTGGCCTGCCGGATCATCAAAAGAGATAATGGCGCATCTGAGCGTGAGAACCACTGAGCTAGATATTTTTATCGATTATGAGTCAATTTCCTACGCTGATTCCGAGTGAAACATGTACATTTGGTATCGTATCGGATGGTGTATCACCGTTGTGATATCACTTATCGGTATATTGTCGAATAAATTCCAATTCCAGAAACTGTCTACGTTGTCGAACAGAGTTTAAATCATTTGAGATACAGCCTTCCTCAAAGATCGCATTTTAATCGTTATGCTACCAAGTGTGTACCGTAAATATATGTTGTTAAAATGGCCCATAATAAAATTTCCCCCTAACGTCTTCCCCGATTCATTTTATCCTTCTTTCAGAGAATGACTTCTAGTTAAAGAGAAGCAGATATATTGAAATTTGTCATTTCATTTGATTAACGGTTTGATAGTTAGTTGATTGTTATCTGTTGATCAACAGCTTCACAGGTTTGTGTTTTTATTTTCCCCAATAATAGAAATGCTCATTCTCAGTGATGAGAGTATTATTGACAATAAAATTGTTTTCAATTGGTAGAATATTCATTGACAGCAATGACTTTTTAAATGACGAAATTTGTTCTGAATAAATAGAATGTTTTCCTGCTGATAAAGATAAGAAAGGTGTTCACTATTTGTCTTTATGCTGCAAATTGCCTTTATGCTGTTTATTATTTGCAAGTACTTTAATCTCGTTTTTCTAAATCATATATTCGAATGAGAAGAAGCTGTGAATTAGCAATAAAAATTTATTTTTAATCAACAGAAAACGGTATTTCAATCACATACAACAAATTCTATCACTATAAAAATTGATTTATTATCAATACAACAAATTTTATCAATAAACTGAGTACTTTCATCCCTAAAAAAGAACAACTGCCATGCATGAGTCGCATTCTCTTCAGTATGATCATACTGCTCTACTGTGAGCATCATGCTCAAACGGCTTACATCCTCAGATCTCATCAGCATCACTATGATTTGGTATATTCATCACGCCCGAAACAACTTCTTGTTTAAGAAAAGCAAACAAGTTGTCAGACGAAAATCTCAATTCATATAGAAACAGACTCATGGTTAAGTCGCATTCTGATTTATATGCACATGCTAACAATAAACTGTATCCACTATATGCATTGTATTCAGGTCACCATATTCCCAGATCGCAGAAAAACAGTAACACCCTGATCAAAAGGATCATATTTTATGCACAACATTCCGTTTATCGACAGATCAGGACAATTAAATTATTTACTGTGCGGTCGTACAAGCATGGTTTGAATTCCTCTGCACTATCTTCACAAGCAATTCATTACGGAATATTTTACCAAGCATTTGAAGGTGACGAGCGATCAGTTTGAGATAGTGGACTGAAACATTTCAGTATAATTCTGTTGATGTTTGGAATATTGGATGCATTTTTGCTGACGATGAGATGTTTACGAAACAAACGTTGTTTAAAGGAAATTCGGAGATTGATCAACTCTTTAAAATATTCAGGTCAAATTTTAAAAACTCCCTCTTTGAGACTGCATAACTTTGTGGTTTTACTTTGAAATTCTTCTCAAATTAAACATCTTTTCTATTCTTGACGAAATTAGCTCAAACAAGAATGTGATAAAACTAATTTATTGAAGAATCCTGCCAACCCCAAACGAAACAATTTGGAAAAACATCCCAACTGATTGATTACAATGTGAAATTTCCGAAGTGGCGAGTTAATACATTATCAGCCAAATCAATGCAACTCCTTCAAGTAATTAGAACATCACGTTCTAATCCTAAACGAACGTTCGAAAAAAGTTCTATAATATATCGATTTGATCGTTTTTCTCATTTCAACGTCCATCGAATCAGCGTTTACAACCGTTTGCAACCTGTGATCAAACGTTACAACCGGTCGGTTGTGACGTTTGATCTGTTTTAGGAAACGTTAAGATGTGATCTAAGGAAATGAACTTTAGCAAAAGAGACACTTCTTCGTTTATACTTTGATGATCTCGACAAAACTTCTTTGCCAGCGTGGAATTACCACGAACAATTGTGAGCAGTTCACTTTTGTGAAATACAACCGATGCCGAACCGCTACCCCACCATCCGCTTCACTGTTTTCTTTGCATCTTTATCGTTTCGCAAACATTTCGAATGCATAGTTCTTTCAACGCAAAACAAAATTTCAAGTTTATTCAACGAAAAAAGATTAATTATGCTGTGGTAAAATAGTGATAAGCAATAATTAAAATTAATGGTGACAATATAATAGACAAAGAAGTAAACCAAATTCAGTTCTAAATGCACTCTTGGTTTGTCGGGTGACTATTTCGTAGATCACTGAACATAATTTATACAGATATTAGGAGTTGATCATATAAATACTCTATTATTCAAGCAAACTACCGAATCGGTTAGCGATTTAACGAACGAATGAATAACGATTAGAAATTAACTGTATCACATTGGATAAGGAAGAAAAAATCTTGATTCAATGGATATGATCGATATTTAGTTTACAACATTCACATAATATTTAGGTAGTTTTCGGAAAGAAAATAGTTGACATTCGTATTTGCATTGAAATGAAGCACTGACGGAATGAACGAAATCACAATGGAACAGTGACGATTACTATGAACGTGAGACGAATAGAAAAGCGAAATGTAATGCTACATTTTATTTTCAGTTTTGAGAAGGCATTGAAAGGATCGTCAACAAACAACTTTGACAAGTACACTTTCGTAATAGAATACTATTCAGATGTACAATACTGATAAGCGCATGATAACATTAATGATTATGACACAACGCACAAAGATATTTATCAACACTGAATCACTTGTTCGAGCGATCGCTGTTCAATCTTTTTTCTTCTTTAATTCATTCAGTTTTTTGACGGACTGGAGTCGCATATGCAGCAGTAGATGGTATGCAACTGAATGAACATTTCATCATCAGCCAATTCAGAAAATTACAACTTATGAATAGATCAAATGAATTTATTGAATTCTTTCCAATGGAACTGATATTGTTTGCAGCTTGTTAAAAGTGCAATCACACCTATATAAACAGTTTCGTTGAATTTCATCCTAAACTGAGGAAATCATTTGCTGATTCACTGATAGAAAAACTCTTATCGTTAGAATGCTGATAATCAACGAACGAATAGGAGAAACGTTTTCGAATGAAAAATGAAACTTACTGAATGGAAACACAAACATAAGCAATACTGTCAAAAATACACCAAAATTGAAGGCGATATTGAAAATGTTTGGCATTTCAATACTGTATTTCGTATTTGTATAGTAATACGGTATAGCTCGATAAATTGTTATCGCTGAAAGTATCAATTATAGATTCAATGAGTTTGATATCCACTTTAGCACTAATCCAATTTCTCACTGAATTGAATTAGAAATATTAAAGACAAAAAGATCATTGCAACTGACTGTTTATAACTATTAAATAACAATAAATAATTTTGAATACGCAGAACATAAGGAAAATGTATAGAAATTGGTAACTACGATGGTATCCTTAAAAACTAGATCATATTAAAAAACCAAAGCCTTCTCATCTTCAATATTCACTGACTACCAAACTTCATACAACTTTGACGACTTTCAAGGCTCAAGAAAATATATCGTCAATTCCATTAACTTCGTTTTGCGACTGAATTTCAATCAACTGTATACAAGATTATGGTGTATGTGACATTTTTGAATGTTCTGAAAAATAACAAAGGATAAAATAGAGCTGATTTTAAACGGTTCAAACTACCTTCCAGCAATAAACCAGTTGGATAGAGTGGAATCCATGCGGTATAACGTAGCCATGTCACTACCCACAAATTAATTTTCAAACATCCCAGCGCATAATACGGATATCTGAATATTGGAAAAAACTAATGTAACTGAAATTTTGCGGATTCAGCAAAGATTTAATGGAAAATAGAATCAATAATAAACCGCATCTTCAGCAGTGAATCAAACAGACGTCAAAAAAGTTCTGTTTGATAAGATGGAGCATTTTGAAAGCTGGAGCAAAGTAACAGCGAAATGTGAAACCAACCTGAACATTTCAATAAGGAAATACACAACCATCAAGCCAAACGTGATCCGTGATGTATGCAGTTCCTCATCGCCATCAATAACAAGCAATACAAACAGACGTCCGACCACCTGCAATACAATGCAGATAAACGGAACAGTTGTTTCATTTGCTGGATGGTCACAAATTTTTTCCTTTTTCAGCCTCATTCCTGTTTCGCAAATGGAATCACCGGTGGATTTGCATCAGTGTTAAAAATTCGAAGTATGGAATCCATAATTGTGAAAATATCACTGTTAGATGAACCTGTAATAAAGCCGTTTGATAAGAACTCTTCGTGATACCAACTGCTGCATGTGCAACATCCAAAAGTTGTAATGCAGTCGCAACTCTGAACGCGAAGCCTTTCTCGATCCAAAAACGATCCAAATATTCTGTGAACAATCATATGCACTTTACTGTTTCCAATGAATAATGACACAATCTTTTTGATGAACACGTAAAGGTATGTAAATTAAGATGAAACCAACAAAATGAGTTTGTGAGTATGAGTGATCATTATGAATGAGATAACTCCCTCAAATTATAACCGAATGCGATGCATAACAGAATATAACACAATCGTTTTCGACTTATTTACTCAATTCATAAATGTTAAACTATAAAACAATCTTCCGATTCGTAAACTAACTCGGGTGACACGGTTCTCAGATGTGAATTTATTCTGAACACTACTTTAATTTACGTAAATTACTTTGAGGTACATTTGAGATACACTATGTCCATATTCTTCCACCAAGGTTGCAAATGATCATGAATAAACAAATAAATGAGATTTACATAACGAAAGATTTTCGGTTATTCTCGTATGCATTCGAAAGTATGAAAAAAAAATCGATCTTGTTTTCGTCATTTATCATATGAATTATTTCATTTTTGTGAGAATGTCAATTCATAAGAATAATAATACATTCAAAGTGATACCACTCCGATGAGCGACGAATTTGTGAATAAGAAACGCAAGGAGGTAGAAGTGAATCAAGAAGATGGTTGCGTTGCATACGAATAGATAACGTTGAATCAGTGAATTACATTCTTTTTTCATCTTTTTAACTGCAACAGTCAAGCAATTAGAAACGTTTAAGCAGAGTGTGCAATTACTTCATTCGAAAACTGACACATTCTGTCGCACAAATAAGCTGAAACTTTTAATGAAACAATAAACAAAATAGGCATCTCCAGAAGAAGACGCAAAAATTTGATGCAAAAATAGCGCTGATTTGCATGTATCTAATTATCAAATACGATACAAAATTGAATCATGTATTGACTGGATGAAAATCAATGATACTAACTTGCAGAGAGTTTTTCAGAAAATGATTTTGGCTTATTGGTATTTTCCTTCAAAAGTTGTTGCGTAAGTGCATCCATCTCTCGTTCAGCCATTCTCTGAAAAGAACATCGTAATACCAAAGTTGTCCGTGACACTACATGTCAGTAGAACAGAAAAGTTCAATAGGACGAATGAATGCATAAGTGTGAGATTGTGGGTAAAGTTATAAAATATTTTCGTTTGCAAACAGCTGAAGATGTGAATGACAGGAGACTGAAGAATCACACACTACATTCTACCTAGTTTCCAATCGAGTGAAAAATAAAATTTAAATTAACAAGCAAGTAGGACGTAAAGTGCGGATAAGTGCATGCATATATGAGTGCAGAGACACACCTGAGGTGAGTTGAGCATTTCGAAATCATCGTCTGACTCATCTGGATCTTTGAATTTGTCAAAATCAACCTAAATAGTATCAATCGCGATAATCCTTTGCTGAATTATGTCGAAAAAGAATTATGAATGATATTTGAAAAAAAAAAGTACAACTGCTTCCAAATGAATGCAGATGGCGAAATGCGAACTTACTCTGAGCCATGAGATACGAGTTGGTTTTTTTGTAACTGTTGGCCACCATCCTTTCGTCTTCTTTTTCAGCGAATACGTTAATCGTTGACCATTTTCATTATTTTCCTTCAAACCACTTGATTCAAAAATAAATTCTCATGAAATAATCTCTGCGGTCTATATTCTATTCACAAAATCATCCATCTTTCAAATGAACGTTATGGAACGTACAGTAATTTGAACATTCTCAATGTTTCAATTTCAGCACACAATATCAACAGATCAGTCAGTAACCGCAATAGCAGCCGATGTATGATATGCAGATAAATATGAACTTGTGAAATTCAGAGGATAGTACTTTCATGGGAACCATTCTGAACAATTAAGTGATACTCAAATAAAACAGTATATGAAACAAAGAAATGAACAAGCCTTATCAGTGGAAACATCGTCGAAAAGATCAAGTTCAAAGCAATATTCCCTTCGCCCTTGTGCACCAGTACCAATGGATCGAAATTCGAACACATTTCCAGATAGCGAATAATCTGTATTCTGAATTTTTCTGGGCTTATTCGCAAATAAATATCACACGATAACAAATATTAAACCATTATCATTCAATCTCAGCCTTATTCATTCAGGTAAATACATGAAAGTCACATGAGTTAACCGCTCACTATCACTTAAACTTCAACCTTAATTAACCATTTGCTGAATAATTTCACTGACAATTAATTCTTAACAAAATCATCAGTCAATTTCTATCCAATCAGCATACCGAACCATCTGAACTTCAATTATCTAATCAACTTACAGTTGCATCTCTTAAGTCAACACTCAGGAACACTCGTTCTTCATCTTGTGCCCAATACACAAATGGATACGAGGTCATTCTTATCTGTTACCTATAACGATAGTAAATTACATCCCATTAACAATTCACTAAACAAATTCGGCATGATATTGATTGAGTTCAGAGCAACTATCCACGAAGAGAAATTCTGCCTCAATCCTGTGAAGTGCTCAGCAGAAACGATTAACTACACAATGCTCACAACCTATAAATTACGGGTAACCGACAAATGCACCTACGACAAGACTAACTCCGATAAGAAGCACCATCTTACTCAATGATGAGGGTGAACGACTAACGACAATTGCAAGCACGACATTTGTCAAGAACGGAGTGACAGCTCGCCAAGTGACGGAAGTGGGATTTTCATTTGATATATGTTCAGAAATGTGAATTTCTTACCTATTCAACGAGAATAAATCCAGGCAAATCATATATCTTTTTATAGAGCAGATCCAGGATAACAAAACGTAACTGATAGATTTGCCAGTGATCGACACGTTTTCGAGATTTTCGATTTCGCGTTAAGGGCAAAAATGCAACAGATACTTTCAATTGGTACCCACTCGACAGGAAAAATTTTAAATCATGATATATACCATTTTGTAGCCGAGACTGAGTACAACAGAAATCTTATTTAGATTTTGTCACCAATTGTTAAGTTAAGAGAGTTATGACNAATTGAAATTCTCTCTATTGCGAATATAAAAATTAGGCGGAATGTTGTACGCCATGTTGTAGCCGAGACTCAGTAATACAGAAATCATTTTTAAACTATGCCGCCAATTGTTAATTCTGCCTCTATGAGGAGATATAGCTAATTTACTGATGCTATAGGGGTTACCACATTTAAGCCTACTATACTCTCAGCTTTGACCGGTAACATATCAATTTCTTCACACCAATCGATCGAGCAGAATTTCTGGATTCAGAAAAATATATATTTTGTCTGGCGACTCTGGTTAGTTGAGATGTAGCTATTTTATTATTGATG